CAGTCTACCGGTAGACGGTAGACGGGCCACCCCTCAGCCGCCACCGCCGCCCTTCCCCCCCAGGCAGAAAGAAACGGCCCCCTGGCGCCCCGCCCTCACCCTAGGCGGGCATCGCCCTGAGTGCTGAGATATGTCTGATCACTCCCCCGTCCCCGAGAGCGTGCCCCGCTGACGGCGAGACCTCTTGACTGCGCGATCCAGCTATATGTGGCAAACCACCTGACGATAGCTCGCAACGTGCGCGGCGATCTATTTGCAGCCACTGCCGGAAGCTGGCTTGCCAGGCGTGCCCGCGCCCGCTGGCAGCAAAACTGGGCCACCATCAGATCCCTCCTCGATGCACAGCGTCTTCCAGCACCCCATCCCGCCCTCCGACTCAGGCTTGCAGGCGATCATGTCGTTCCCAGTCGGGTTTGGGTTTGGGTTTTCGTTACGTGAGAGGTCTTGGCAGTACGTGATGAAGGTCTTGTCGTTGTGCTCATTACCAAAGGAGTGGGAGCAGTCGTGCTGCTTCAGAGGGTTTCTCGCCCCGTAGCCTTTCGCATACATGCAGACGCCATGGAAGGAGTCGTCACCGTCAGGGAACCCCAAGTCCCTCCTGTGTCCCCACAGTGTGAAGAGCTTGCTCGGTGTTCCGTCGGAGGACCAGTAGGGGTCGTCTGCGTTCCTGTATGTGTCTTGAGCCGGGTGCAGGCACTGCCCACCGCCGGAGGCATGATATTTGGGGCCTTCGCAGAGAGGCTTGCGTCCCTCCGCCGCACACGCCGCGACGATCTTGTCGTTTGTGCACGTCCCCGGGCCCAAATCGGCATAGAACGCGGAAACCCCTGCTGCTCCCATTGGAAGCTGCACGTCGTAGGCGGGGGGGGAGCACGGCGAGGGCGGGGCTGGCGGCGGTGAGGCCGCTGGCGGCGGTGGGCAGGGGGCCTCGGAGAGGCGGCGGCGGTTCCCCTCGGTGCTCGGGTCGGCGACGCGCTCGATGGAAGAGGCATCGACGATGTCGGTGGCCTTTGAGCCCTCAACCGACGGGCGGTCGTCTTTCGCCGCGTTGAAGCGCGAGAAAGCGAACTCGGTCGCGAAGGCGGACTGCATCTCGTACTCGGAGGCCGTGCCCTCAATGGCTCCTTCCGCCTGGGCGGTGGTGGTATAGGCTCCCGCGAAGGGATACACATCTTGCTTGCCATTACGCACCAGCCCGGGCGTGGCAAATGACTGGCCAATGAGGCCATGTGGCTTGTCGCGGGCCGGAGCGTTGCCGCGCGCCGTGAAGCTGACGTCAATCCGGTGTGCAGGCCCCTTGATGAGGCAGTCGTGGCCGGTGTCGCAGGACGGCATTCCCTTCACCGTCACCGTCCAGTTGCCGAGCTCAAAAGTGGCGCTCGAGTAGCCCATCGCCATCTTGAGAGTGAAGCAGTCCTTCTTGCCGCGGTTGCCGAAGGTGAATGCGCGGCCCACGCAGCTCCCATTGACCACGCGCCAGCCCATGTTGTTGGGGTCGAGCTCGGACGCCCAGAACGAGGCGGTGGCGCGCTTTTGTGGGGAGAGCTGCGCGGTGACGTGCGCCTCGGTTAAGAAGGTGCCATTCACAGTTAGCACGCCGTGATGCGCAAAGAAGACCGCCTCCTCCGTCTTGACATTCACCGACAGTCCGGGCGCAGACAGGAAGTTGTAGAGCGCGTTGTGCTTGCCTCGAAAGTCGGCGCGCCCGCCGTAGGCAAAGTTTACTATCGGGTCGCGGAAGACCGACGCGTCTGCGCCGCACTGGCTCAGGGGCGCGATGGCAACGGGCAGCATCCCCAAGCGGCCGATCCCCAAGCAGCCGATCGCCAAGCGGCCGATTCCCCGCGGCCGATATGGATCAATATAAGAGGGCTCCCGCGGCGATCAACACCGCAACTCCTTTTCTAAAGTACCGTCGCCGTTGGGACGGTCGTTGCTCGCGCCGTTGGGAAACGCAAGGCGCACCTTTTTGTTTTGAAGACCTTGAGCACTTGAGCACTGGATAGGGCCGATTCCGCGTGGTACGGGACCCCTCGATCGTCTCGCCCTCCCTCACTGGTGTGTTCATTGGGGGGGGTCATAACAAACACGGTACAGGATCGAGGTGCACGCTGCCGAAGCAGTGTCGTCCCCCCTCTCCCCGACGGCGATGGCGGTGTGACCGATCGAGCTACAAGAGGAGCTTGTTCAGCAGGATCCGGGGTAGTCAGATGCACTACCTCACTGGGCCTGAGATCATCGTACGACGCCTCCCATCACCGTCTCGGGTTTGTGTGGAGTCGAACCACTCCGGGGTGGGCAGGCCCACCAATTTTCGTACCATCTTGTTAATTGTCAGGATTCCTGTTGTGCAAGAGGGGAGGGGGGCTCTGACGGAGTGCGTGGCGGGAGAGGGCAGGGAGTGGGCGCGGGGGAGGGGGGGGGGGGGCTCAGCCGTGCAAAAAGCATCAATTAATAATAGTAAGGAAGACATGTTGCCCGGCCGTTCAAGAAGTCCGTCTCGATTTTCGTTTTTTCCCCACAGACCACTCGGGCAACTTTTACGAAAGGCAAAGTTTTACTTGACCACTCGGGCAGATTGGATTGCATTTTACCACTCGGGCAAACTCGATGAAACGGGCGGACGGAAACGCGTTTGCGACGGCTCGCCGGAGAGCATGCATGGAGCGGCCGGTGCGCCGCCGCAGCTCACCGATGGAGCCTGCGTCGCGGCTCAATCCACTGACGTAGCAGCACTGCGACACACTCTCCAAGCACGGCCTCTGGCGTTGCGATTGCACAGAGAGCGAGCAATAGGCGCCAAAAGCACAGATCTGTGTGCAGTGGATTTCCATGTAGGTCGCGCCCAGCGAGCGGACAACCGCGGGTCTCGGATGCTCTCCCGGACGCGAGCCCATCGTGCGAGTGGCGGACCCGGAGGCGGCCGGCCCAGCTCACCCCCAGAGAGGCCATGGCCAGGGTCAGGCATAAAAGGGGGGTGTTTTTCCGTCCGTCCTTGAAGACCTCGATACTTAGCGCACTGCTCGGGCGAGAGCTCAAACACGTGCCGCGTCTCGTCTTCGCCGCCGGCTACGCGCACAGACACATCGCATCTGCGCGTCCCCGGCAGTGGCAGTGTGGGGGTAGAGATGGGAAGTGCGGAGATGGAAGGCAACGCGCCTGTTTGATGGCCGCACGAGGCAAAATTGGGCGCTCCGAGCGCCCTCTCGGCGAGAACGAATGGGCTGTGCATCGGTCAGAGCGTCATTGAGAGGGTGGCGGTCGTGCGCTCACTCTGTCGGCCACGCGCGAGGAGAATACTGTGTGTGAGGCGCGCGTGAGGCGAGGGTGGGCGCGCCGGCGGTCGAGCCACCAAACGATTCGACGTCGCGCAGCTCCGCGCTGGCGGGCACGACCGAGCAGATGCTGTCGGCGGCGGTCACGCGACGAGCGAGAGCCGCAGGAGCCCTCTGAGGACCAGGCGCCGGAAAGCGATGCGAGCGGCGGCCGCGATCAGCCACCTATGGGCGGTCACCGGGGTGACGGTCAAGCTCGCGACGGGGTGAATCTGGTGCGTCTCATATCACTGGTGGGCTGGGTGTGCAGCAGCATCGCTCAAAAAGAGGCGAAAAACTCGACAGCTACTTTGAGTGTCAGCTCTCTCGGCGCACCGTCCTCGACCGCGCTGAAAAGCTGGCTGGTGGTCGCGCGCAGCGCGTCGGCGCGGCTCCGACTGGCCGGGCACCTCGGCTGGGTCCATCAGCATGAGGCCCGCCCCGTCGGGCAGCCCCACGAGCGCATGGGCGGCCGGCGCTGAGCGGAGGACGGCGGGCTGAGATCCGCAGCTTTGCCACGAAAAACGAGAGGCTCGCCGGGGGAGTGTCAAGTATCGTACCCTAGATCCTGCTCGCGCAGGTGGGGACCCTGTCCTTCTCCCACCCCTTGTTTGGTGTGTCCGTTTTTTATATTTATTTAGATTTATACACTGGCCCCCTGTGTGTGTCCTCGCCCTTGTGGGGGAAGGGGAAGGGCTGTGGTGTGTCTGTGCATGCATGCATGCACATGCATGCATGTGTGTGTGTGTGTGTGTGTGTGTGTGTGTGTGTGTGTGTGTGTGTGTGTGTGTGTGTGTGTGTGTGTGTGTGTGTGTGTGTGTGTGTGTGTGTGTGTGTGTGCGTGCGTGTGTGGGTGTGTGCGTGTGTGGGCGCTGTGCGAGCCGCCCTGAACGCCACGAGCGCGCCGCGAGCGCCATAGCGCCGCAAAACCGCCGACGAGCGCCGTCAGCAGCGCGTGACCGCCACCCAAAAGTGGAGGTACATGAGGAGGTGCAGCCAGCCTGCTCTATCAACCCCGGCGCATCCGCGGAGGCGCGACCGGTTCGCGGTTCGCCCGGGCCCTTTTGGCTCCCGGTTCGAATCGCGGTAGGCGCGCGCCCTCGCGGAGCGACGCGTGGCGCGCGACGCGCGCGCGTGCGTGCGCGTCCGCGCCGAGCCGAGCCGTAGCCGTATGCCGTCTGCCGTCTGCCCTTTGGCCGACGGCCGCCGCCGCCGCCGCCGTTAGCTGCGTCGCGTTTTGTGCGACGCGCCGTGTGGAGACGCGCGCCGCCCGGCGCCGAACGTGCCGGAGCCGGTCCGGCGCGCGCGCGGGCGGCCAGCGCCTGTAAACAGACAGCCGTGCCGCCCGCACGTTCAAAAGTGACACACAGCTGGAGGCAGGTCGCTAGACTGAGATGAGACCGCCAGTGGAGTTGGGAGTCCACCGTGCACCGCGCTGCGAGCCTGTCGTGTCCCTTGTCAGGAGCAGGAGAGCCCCACCTATTGCCCCTGATCGTCCTTCCAAAATCCTGCTCGTGCAGGTGTGGGCCCTGTCCTCCTCTGACTCCCATCCCTCGTTTGGGATTGTCTGTCTTCTTTCTTTCTTTGTGTGAGATTCGCGTGACCGTGAACTCAGCCACGGTGCGGAGCCAGCGCTTCCGCTTGGTCATTTCGACGAGCGACGACGCACCCCGAGCCCCGAGGTCAGATGCTCAGATCCCTCTAGAGAAGAAAAACGATAACATCGATTTACGTACAGTACTCGACTTTCGGACTCGCAGAGTCGCACCAAGCGAGGAGAGTCTCAGTCTGAGGTGCCCGGGCGCTGCGCCGTGAGGGCGGGGCCGGCCCGCGCCTGCTCCTGCTGACAACCCTCAGTCGCGACTGTTTTGCGAGAGCAGCCTCTCGACCGCCTGAGCAGAAAGTTCCAGCCTCGTTAGCGATGTTCTTTGGCCGGGCTCTGATCTGTTTCAAGCGTCTCGCAGGGGAGGGCGCCGCGGCCTGCTGCAGCGGCGCCAGCGACTCAACCAGCTCGGGCAGCGCGTCTAGGATCGGTGCGACGTCCGCCCCCGCGTGCACCTGCGGGTGCAGAAGCAGGCGTGTGGAGTCCACTCCTGGCACATGAGCTTCTAGCAGGGAGAGACAGAGAAAAATATGTAACGTCCTCAATGACCCGCCGGCGCACGCATGGCGGTGGGCGGGCGGCGGTGGGGCAGCGCACCAATAGGCTGAGCACGATGGGCGAGCAGCTCGCGTGCACCACCGCGCAGTCGTCGCAGAACGCGGTCATGTGCCTGCGCGGCACGGGAGCGGTTGAAAGGAGAGGTTGGAGGGAGAGGATCGGCGAAAGTGCGTCTGGCAAAGCGGTCCGGTGAGAGCGCGCCGGCTCTTTCCGAGCCCGAGCTTGCTGGTGTGGTCGGCGGTCTGCGAGTACGTCGCCGATAGCCGCTGCGAGAGCGGGGCGTGTGGGGCGCGGCGCGTGAGTGCTGAGCGGATTTGCGGCTCGAGGCGGTGGCGCGCGAGCCTGCAGCCTGGGCTCGCAGGAGGCGTCGCCCGCGCACAGCAGGATGGCGCCCTCCGGATCGCACACGAGAACTGTCTTGACGCCCTCGAGCCGCCCGAGCAGCTGGTCGAAGGAGGAGTCGGCCGGCATACTCGTATAGGTGTTAAGGAGAGGGGTGTGATGCGCTAGCCGTCGCCCACCCTATGGCGCGTCCGCCTATCTTCGCAGTCCCTCGCCGATTCTCGCCTGCAACCTTCATGCCGCCTCGCGGTCGTCCCACTCTCGTCGTTCTCATAGGAGCGTCATTTTGTACCCACCCCCCCTACTTCGTGGGGACCCCCCCGCCGGTCGGTGGTCTGCCCCCGAGGTCAACCGGACCCCCCCTCCGGTCGGTCGCTCTCTCGGCGGCGGGAGGTGTGACGACCGACCCCCCCCTCGGTCGGTGTCCCGCTTGCTTGCCGTGAGCCAACTCAATCAAACGCTCTCCCTCCTTCTCGCGAATCGCCACGGGCGCTTCGAAATCGCCGGTTTTCACTATGAAAACTAGTCACGCAGCCAAGCGCCAAGGAGACTTCTTCGCCGAGACCCGAGCGAGCCCGACTCCACACACATATGTGGAGCATCCACGCAGTCGCAGGCCTGATCCTGCTTGCCGTCGCTTTGTACAAGCTCTGGCAGCGCTCCAGTTCTCCACAGTACGCGCGCGCAGACTCGCTGCCAAGCCGGGCGTCGGGTGGCCAACCATGCGGACCCTCATGACTACGATGACTTACCAGAGAGACTTGATCGACACATCGCCGCCGCCGTCAAGTCGCTCCTCAAGCGACAGCGAATGGCAATCGATCCGGGTGCTGGACGCCGCTTCATGAGCAACTCAGTTTTAGAGATACTAATAGAGACACTAATTTATTCACAGCTGCGGCGAGTGCGGCGCGTGGCTCACGAGCTGCCGCAGCTCGTCGAGAGAGAGCATGGGGTCGAGCCTCGTCGCAGCCAGGGGGCGCAGGCCCTCCACTCGTTGCAGGAGGCAGCCTCCGCCCCCTCCCTCGCAGTCGCGTTGGAGGAATGTGCCGGCAATGAGCACTTCTGCCCTGAGCGGGTCGACCAGGTGGCGCCTCGCGGACCTCCCGCCGCCCGGAAAGGGGCGGCCCAGCCACTCGCAGTACATCACCGCCACACCGATGCCCGGGTGTGCGCGCTGCCGCGAGCGCATGGTTTCCGAGTCGGCGAGCGATGTCAGAAGTTAGGACGGCATTTGGACGAGTATGGTAAAGTTGAGCGTGTAAGGAGCGATGAAAAGCAAGTGGCGACGTGTACCTTCCCACGTCGCCGCTTGACGAGCTTGCGGGATCTTGCGGGCGGACGAGACGAGACGGAGCAATATCGCAAAAAGAAATCGCAGGGTGCCTGCGGCCGCCTCTTTAGCCTCCCTCGCAGCCTCAGCCTCCGCCTCGCCCGCCTCAGCCTCCGGCCCGCCACCTTCGATGGCCACTCACTTTGAGCCATCCGCCTCGCCGACAACGCTTCTGGGAAGGGGCTCCACCGTCCGCATCGTCAACCTGCAGTCGGCTGGCGGGCAGGCGCTCAATGGAAAGAGCGGCAAGTTGCTCTCCTTTGACGCTGACGCCGATCGCTGGAGCGTACAGGTAGACGCTCGCACGACCAACCTTATCAAAGCGTACAATCTGGAGTACGGTGAGCGGGTCCAGCTCCTTATCCTCACCCCGGAGCACCCGGGCTGGTCCATGGAAGCGCACCGCGTCAGTCCAATCGCCGGGCGCATCGCCGGGAACGGCCTTGGCAAATATGCTGATGGCGATCACGCCGTGGCAGTGTACGTGCACCCGCCGTCATTCACGGCAGCGTACCAGGACACCCTCGCGAGGAAACTCCGATCAATGTCTCTGGGAGCCGACTACGTCGAGGAAATGATGAAGGCGATCGTCACTCGGTGCGGAACGGCAGACAGCACCTGCGACACGGTGGACATGGCCAAGCGCACGACCTGCTTCGCCTGCGGGGCCGTTGCGCCCAGCGGTACCACTTTTATGACCTGCAAGCTTTGCGTGGAGCAAAAGCTCGCCTCGCCGGCGCGGTACTGTGGCCGTGCGTGCCAAAAGCAGCACTGGAAGGAAACGCACAAATGCGACCACCAGCAGTGGCAGTTCAATGAGCTCGCGAAGCTGTCTCTGGAGACCGAGAGCCGCGAGGCGCCGGCCTCGTCACTGCAGCAGGAGGCGGAGGCGAGATCCGAGGATCCTTACTTCGCACGCATGTCCGTCGGGCTCGAGCTACTGACAAAGTCTGACTTCAAAGGGGCGGCGAGGTCTTTCCGCAAGGTGATCAAAAAACACCCACTGGAAGCGAGCGCCTTCCATCACCTCGGCGTGGCGCTCGGTCGCTCGGGCGATGACGCTGCTGCAGGGCAAATGTACGCCAAAGCCTTCGAACTGTGCCAGCCGGACACACCGAACTGGGCCACTAGCTTCGCGTCGGCGGTGCTGAACATTATGTGTTCTACCGCGCGCAAGCCCGAGTGGTGGAGCGACTCCACGCTCCTCTCGCTGTCGAGCCGAGCGCTGGCTTGCTACGAGGGCGAGCAGCTGCCGGCTGGCCTCGCAAGGTCTCCGGACCCCTTTGTCGTGCGTGCGCTGATCCTCAGCGGACATGTCAACGGCGTGCGAGAGAAGTCGCACGGTGCGCCATCGGCTAGGCCATCGGCCATTGCAGGCATGTGCTCGACCTCTTTGCCTGAGAATCGCACGCCAGGTGACCTCCACGAAGCTGCCCGCTGCTATCGATGTGCCGGAGAGGTGATTCGCGCCGAGGAACCACAGCACAGCACCGCACAACGCATGGAGGCAATGGAGGGCAACGCAATTGTGTGTGAGCGAATGGCACGCGCTATGCTTCGCGACTCCGGGGCCAGCTGCGGCGTCGGTGCGGTCGGCCTCTCCCTCGCCGCCGCCGCGGTGGGCCTCCTCGTGCGCCTCCTCCTCCTCCTGCAGCAGCTGCTGCTGCTGCTGCTGCCGCGCCGCCGCCGCCCAGCTCGCCCCCGCCGCCGCCTCCGCCGCAATCGCCTCTGAGGCCCTCGTGGGTCGAGAGTGGACGCGTTATCTGAGCCGAATGTCCGGGCCGGAATTCTTGTCTGCGTGAGAAAGAGAAGGTCAGCGTGTGGGGTTCGCGTTCGGGCGGGGGGGCGGTGCGCGCCTGCGGCCAGGACGGGCAGGCGGGCCGGGAAGGAGGGTCGGATCGGACATGCCATGGGCGCGAGAGGGGAGGGGTGACTCCGCCAGGACCCAACCCCCCTGAGACCCCCCCGACCCTCGTCCCCCCCGCGCCCGCACCTCTGCGGACGGGCCCCACCCTTCATGGACGGGATCATGTAGTCCCGCCCACGCTGTCGTGGGATCGAGATGCAGCCCTGGGTCTGCAGTGCCTCTTGGATTGACTATGCCACGCTAGTGAGCGTCCTTCCGTGTACGTACGGGCCCGGGCACATGAGAGTACGTACCTTACACAGAGAGAGAGAACACAACCCCCTCTCTCTTTTCTCCCAGTAAGCTAAAAGTACGTACACAGATAACAAGTGCATGTGCACGGCCCACAAAACATGAACGCACGCAACTCGTGTCGCTCCCGATAAGTGCAGTATCACGCGACCGTTATACACACGGTCCACCCCCCTGAGATTCGATATCGATTGAGATGGCAGATGCAGATGAGCTCGCCCGAGCTCGCGCGTGTGTTTCAGCCTACACTCCGGTCTCCGCGGCCGACAGCTCCAACACTGGGGTCTGGGCTCTGCTGTTCAGCTGCCACGATGTATCCCAAACCACCCAGGATCCGATCTGGCAGTGAGTAGGGCAGTGTGGGTTTCACACCCGGGGCAGGTAGGGGATCTGGGACGGCAGTGTGCGGCAGTTGCGGGCAGTACGGGTCCACAATGGCGAAAGTGCTTAGCAGCGGCGGAGGTTCCTTGAGCTGCCCCGACACGGCCGTGCTAGCGGTGGAGCGTGGCGAGGATGAGGCGGTGCTGGCGTGGCTTGAGGGCGGCGGGCGGGTCGACGCGACGTACAAGAGACGAGGCGTGAGCGGCGTCACGCTGCTGATGGACGCCGCCAACTACGGCCACGAGCGGGTGGTCGACTTGCTGCTGCAGCGTGGGGCGAAGGTCAACCTGCAGAACAGCGACGGCGGCACCGCGCTGATTCTCGCCGCCCACTACAGCCACGAGCGGGTGATTGAGCTGCTGCTGCGGCACGGCGCGGAGATCAACCTGCAGGACAGCGGTGGCTTCACCGCGCTGATGCTCGCCGCCCAGGAAGGCCGCGAGCGGGTGGTCGACCTGTTGATACGGCACGGCGCAGAGATCAGCCTGCAGGACAGCCACGGCTCCACCGCGCTGCTGCTCGCCGCCCACAACGGTCACGAGCGGGTGGTCGACATGCTGCTGCGGCACGGCGCGGAGGTCAACCTGCAGAACAGCAACGGCTACACCGCCCCGATGGACGCCGCAAGCAAAGGCCACGAGCGGGTGGTCGACGTGCTGCTGCAGCACGGCGCTGAGGTCAACCTGCAGAACAGCAACGGCTACACCGCGCTGATGTACGCCGCCGAGAACGGCCACGAGCGGGTGATCGAGTTGCTGATTCGGCACGGCGCGCAGATGAACCTGCAGAGTAGCATCGGCGGCACCGCGCTGATATACGCCGCCGACAGAGGCCACGAGCGGGTGGCGGATTTGCTGCTGCAGCACGGCGCTGAGGTCAACCTGAAGGACAGCATCGGCACCACCGCACTGATGCGCGCCGCAGTCGGAGCCCGCGAGCGGGTGGTCGAGCTGCTGCTGCGGCACGGCGCGGAGATCAACCTGAAGGACAAGTACGGCGTCACTGTCCTGATGTGCGCCGCCCGCCAAGGCCACCCCGCCGTCGTGCTCCGCTTGCTTCGGGCTGGCGCAGATGCAAAGGCTCGCTCTGCGACCGGCAGGTCCGCGCTGCAGTTCGCCAAGGAGCAAGCGGTCAAGGTGCTAGCTACTGCCGACGCCGCCAGTGCTCCTGAAACGGACCACGCCGGGTGCGTGCGCGCTCTCACAGAGCACGCAGCGGCGCTGAGGGAGGCGGAGGCGGCGGAGAAGGCGGCCGAGAAGGCGCTGGAGGCCAAGGGGCGGCGCGAGCAGCGCGAGCGGGAGGAGGCGGCGGCCGCGCGAGAGCGGGAGCGGGCGGCACGCAGGCGGGAGGCGGAGAGAGCGGCGGACGAGGCGCGCCGGGCGGCGGATGCAGCGGCGCTGGAGGAGCAGAGGCGAGCCATTGCGGCGGAGGCGGAGGCGAAGCTAGCCGCTGAGCGCGCGGCAGCAGAGGAGACGCTGCGGGCGAGGGAGGCGGAGAGGCTTGCGGCGGAGGAGGCGCAGCGAGAGGAGCAGCGGGCGGCGGCGGCGGCGCGCAAGGCCGCTCAGGCAGAGGCGGCGCGGCGCGACAAGGAGGCTGCGGACAAGAGGGCGGAGGAGGAGGAGGCGAGGCGGCGCGCAAAGGCGGCAGAGGCAACGGCGGCCAAGAAGGAGGCCAAGGCGAAGAACAATAAGGCCAAGAAGGCGCCGTCTGCTTTCGCGCTCGAGGAGGAGCGGAGGGCGCGCGCTGCGGCAGAGGTTCGCGCGCAGGAGGAGAGGGCGGCGCAGCTGGCTGCTGAGCAGGAGTCGGCGAGGCGGGCGGAGCGGGAGGCGGAAGAGCTAGCGGGTGCGGCAGAGCGGGCGGCGCTGCGCGAGGATGCGGAGCTGGCAGAGGCGCTTCGCCGGTCAGAGGCGGATGCGGAGGAGGCGCTGGCGCGTCGGGTGTCGCGGTGCGAGGAGGCGGTGAGCAGCGAGTCGACCGGCGGAGGCGGGGAGTTGCCGCTGCGTGTCGAGCGGCTTGAGGCGAGCCTCGGCGCGGCGACCGAGGGCAGCCTCGAGGAGCGGGTCGGCGCCATCGAGCGCTTGATCGGGCCAGAGGCGGGAGAGGCGGCGGAGCAGCATCTGCTAGTCACCGAGCCGTTTGCTGCCGTCTCACTAGCCGACGCCGGCCTCGACACGGGACGGCCGGCTGCCCCCGAGTCCACGATGGGGGGCGAGACCACGTGTATCGTGTGTTTCGCGAGAGCCAAGTCGCATGCTGCGGTTCCGTGCGGGCACTTGTGTGCTTGCGGGCCATGCTCTGAGCTGATGCAAGAGTGCCCTTACTGCCGCGAGCCAGTGATGATGTGGCTCGCACCGCGCCCTGTGTGATCAGCGATGGAACGTGGGTTGACATCGACTCGGAAGATGTCCCTGTGCTTCATTCAGCGGAGTAAATTTTTGCGTGCGCCAGGCCCAGGGGGGCGTAACCGTAAGCTCCAAGGTTGGCAAAGGACTCTGGGGGGAGGCGGGGGCCCCCGGAGGCACCGTGCGCCGCGCAGCAGTGCGGAAACCGCGGGGCTCCGGCTCTACTAGTCTCTACTAGCACCGACTTCCCGATTAAGTACGGTTAAGTAGAGGGCAGATTTGGAGAGAGCTCGAGGAGTACATACAGATAGACCCTTCAACCATCAGAAAACCCCGACCTGATCGGTCGTACTGACCGCCGACAGATCACTCCAGACAGCAGACAGGCCGACGTCTGCACACGGCCGGCCGGGCGAGAGGCTTGACACGATCCGACCCTGCGACCCTGACGCTGCTGCTCTAGCTGTCAGACATGCGCTGCTGACTGCTGCCACAATGTGCGACCGGTGCTGACCCACTCGGCGGCCTTCCCGGTCAGTGGTGAGGCGCAGTTCAGAGCTGTCGATGGCGCGATGCCGCACTGGTCCCACATCGGTGACACGAGACCACCACGTTTGCCGGTCCAAGAGAGAGGCACCGGCGCTGTCCTGAGAAGGTGCATGATCCCTCTTGACTGCCCATGCGCGCGAGGCTGTGTAGGCATAGCCTCGAGATTGCCAGCAGCCAATCCGAGGCAGTTTGTGACGCGCATTGCGTCAGAAGCGTGCACGCGCTGGAAGGACACCTTCCTACTGGCCGTACGATCAGGTCGTCACTGAATGCCGAAGACTAAGGCCGCGAGCTATGCAGGCGGTCAGTTGAGCAGCATGGCACGGTCAGCAGCGCCGAAAGGATGTCGCAAGGCGTGATAGCATGGCCGCAAGTACGCCGAATTCCCATGGAAACAAGTAAAAAATCGCGCGAAAAAGAAAAAAATGCCAAAAAAATCGGCGCCTGCGGCGGGCTGGGGGACCCCATCGATTCATGGCACATGACGGACGGTAAGGCCATATCTCGCATGATCTCCACAGCCCCTGAGCAGGCGGTGACGGCGTGGCTCGCGCTCGACCCCGCGGACGAGGACAACGGCTGCCTGCGCTATGTGCGCGGCTCGGCCGCCGGCGGCGTGCGAGCGCACCGCTATAGCGGCGTGATCGGCTTCTCGCAGACGCTGGACGCTGCCGCGGACGCCGCCGACGCGCAAAACGAGTTTGCGTTGCCCGCGGCGCCGGGCGACTTGCTGCTCCACACGGCGACGATGGTGCAGCCGATGTATGTATGTATGTAGCCGACGCGAATCGCATAAAATTCTTTTTCTCGCGATGTCCACCCAACGGCGCCGCTCGCGCCGCCTCGCCGCCGCCGCCGCCGCCGCCGCCGCGCACTGCCCCCTCCTCGACCTCCCCACGGACCTCTTCGTGCGCGCCCTCTCTCGCTGCGACCCCGCCGACCTCGCTCGCGTCGCGGCCGTCTCCCTCCTCTTCCACGCCTCGCTCGCGGAGGACGGCATCCGCTTGTGGGCGCAAGAGCGCGGCTTCGAGCTGCCGGCGCAGCCAGAGGGCGAGAGCTGCGCCGTGCGGTGGCTGTGCCTCGCTGCGTTGCTGTGCGAGTCCAACCCGCCGGCGAGGGTGGCCGCAGGCGAACTTCACAGCCTCTTCATTGACGGCGAGGGGCGGCTCTCGTCTTGCGGCTCGGCGCCGACCTTCGACCCAGTGCTACTCGGGCACGGCGAGGGCGTGACGCGGCTCAACACGCCGACCCGCCTCCCGTCGACGCTGGGTGTGCGCACCGTGAGCGTGGCGGCGGGAAGCACGCACAGCCTCGCCCTAACCGCTGACGGCGCTGTTTGGAGCTGGGGCTGTGGAGCCTTTGGCAAGCTGGGCCACGGTGACGAGCAGGACCAGCTGGAGCCAAAGAAGGTGGCGGCGTTGGCTGACCAGCGTGTCGTCGCTGTGTCGGCTGGAGGCGGGCACAACCTCGCCCTCACCGCCGACGGTGCTGTCTGGAGCTGGGGCTTTGGAGGAGGCCATTTGGGCCACGGCGACCAGCAGCACCAGCTACTGCCCAAGAAGATCGAGGCCTTTGCGGGTCAGCGCGTCGTCGCTGTGTCGGTTGGATTCTTCCACAACCTCGCCATCACCGCCGACGGCGCTGTCTGGAGCTGGGGCGATGGAGGCTACGCCCAGCTGGGCCACGGTGTCAGGCAGCGCCAGCTGCTGCCAAAGAAGATCGAGGCCTTTGCTGGCCAGCGCGTCCTCGCTGTCGCGGCTGGATGGTTCCATAGCCTCGCTCTCTCCGCCGACGGCGCTGTCTGGAGCTGGGGCTCTGGATATGGACAGCTGGGCCACGGCGACGAGCAGAACCAGCAGTGGCTGCCCAAGAAGATCGAGGCCTTGGCTGGCCAGCGCGTCGTCGCCGTGTCGGCAGCACACTACTGCAGCCTCGCCGTCACCGCCGACGGCACCGTCTGGAGCTCGGGCCGCGGGGCCGAGGGCCAGCTGGGCCACGGCGACGAGTACGACCAGCTGCTGCCCAAGAAGGTCGAGGCGTTGGGGGAACAGCGCGGCGTCGCTGTGTCGGCTGGGACCCACCACAGCATTGCCCTCACCGCCAACGGCGCTGTCTTCACTTGGGGCAAGGGCGAGAGCGGCTGCCTAGGCCACGGAGAGGACCTGTCGAACCAGCTGCGGCCCAAGAAGGTCGAGGAGCAGAGCGGCAGCGGATGAGACTCAGACTGAGAAGCAGAAGGCGGCGCGCGGAGCCGGAGGGCGGCGCGGCGCGACTGGCGGGCGCTGCCACCCTGCCAAGTGGAGGCAAGGTTTGAGTCTGAGGCGGCTAGCGTTATCCGAGTCATGGCGACTCAAACCTTTCCTCGTTGTGTGTCCGCATGTGAAGGCCACACTGTCACACCCATCGCACGCTGGCCTTGAGCAAACGAGTGAGACAAGGATTGCCGCTTGTTCACCGTGAGACGAGTGTGAGACGCTCTGAGATGAAATGACGAGACGTAGTAGAGACGACATTGTCACACAGCAGGGGTGAACATTTGGGTCCGTCAAACACGTCTCTGAAGGTGACTGTGACACCACTGTGCCGTGTGTGTGACATCCTTGAGACAAAGTGAGACTGTTGCTGTGACCAAGGCTGAGACAACGCAGAGATCGGTGAGAGTATGTGAGACATTACTGAGACGCATTTGTGGCACAGCGTTGAGACAGGGACGAAACACCCGTGAGACAGAGACGTCTCACCTGTTCGCCCCTAAAGCCGTAGAGCCAGGTCCTGTCATCGACGCGCCCCGAAAGAATGTACAAAGTACAATATTGGATCGGAAACCGCTCTCCATGCCGCTCTCCTCTATGTGGAGCTCTTATCCCCCTCGCCTCTTTGCGTTTGGCCTTGCACGAGCCTTTCCGTCTCACTCAGTATGGTGTCCGTCCTGCAAAGGAGCAGCGCCATCATGCGCGCGGGCGTCCCGGCCGCGAGCGCTGCCCGCCGCACCTCCTCGACCTCGCCGTCCTGCACCGGCGCGACCAGCTGCGTGAGCGGCCCGTGGACTGCCGCGACCAACCGGCTCACGTCCGCGGCGTCGACAGCGCCGCTGAGCACCTTAGCGCGCAGGGCCGCACTCCCGACAGCCTAAAGGCGGAGGGAGCAGAGGAGAGGTGGGAAGGGTGGCGACGCGGAGGGCGAGATCGGCCGAGCGAGGGCGAGCTGCCGAGCGGCCGAGCGTGAGAGAGGGGCGAGGAGGAGCACGGGTGTGAATAGGCACGGGTGTCTGGGGTCTCTCGGGCCCCGGCCTGCTCGAGCTCCGCGTGCACCTCCAGCCTGCCAGGCAGTAGCGCACTCATCCGGCGGACGAGGTCGGACAGCAAGCGCAGGAGCAACTCCGCGTCCGACTCGGAGAGGCGTCCCTGCGACAGGGCTCGCACGATGAGCTCGTACCTCTGGTCCCAGCCTTGGTCCCGGCCTACCCGCAGCTTGAACCAGTCATTTGGCGATCTTCACACCGCCCGCAGCTGGTCCCCGCTGGCGCTCGCCCACGGCAGCGGCCGCCTCGGCCGCCTCGTCGCGTTGCGCACCCGTCTCGGCCTCCGCCACCGCCTCCCGGCTCGCCGCACCCACGCCGCGCGCACCAGCCTCATCTCTCTCCTCCCCGGCCTCCGTCGCCTCTCTGGCGTCCTGTGCCTGGCCCTCCTCCGGCGCCGCGGCGGCCAGACCCGCCGCCGCCTCCTCCCCCTTCTCCTCCGCCGCGGCCGCGCTAGCCTCTCGATCCGCCAATGCATTCGCCGTCGCCGGCTCAATCGGCACAGCCGCTGCCGTCTGCGCAGCGACCGTCGAGGCGGCTTCCGACACGGTGGTGGCGCCGGTGCCGCCGCTACCAGCGCTCCCCACCTCCGCCTCTGCATTGGCTCGGCTGATGGCAGCGCCCACTAGCGCGACCGCCGGGATCGCCGCCACGCTCAGCTTGTGATCGGCCGCCCACGCCGCAAAGCGCTGAGCCGCAAGCTCGCCCTCTGACCGCTGCTGGCTCCGTGCAGCTTTCAGCGTCTGTGCCTCCTGCGAGGCCGCCGCTCTCGCCGCCGCCGCCTTGTCCGCCTTTGCCGCTGCCGCCGCCTTCGCCGCGATCGTCTTCTCCGCCTCCACCGCTGCCGCCGCCTCCGACTCCGTTTCCGCCTTCTTCGCCGCTCCCGCCTTCGCCGCCGCTTCCGCCTTTGCCGCCGCTCCCGCCTTCGCCGCCGCTTCCGCCTTTGCCGCCGCTTCCGCCTTTGCCGCCGCTTCCGCCTTCGCCGCCGCTTCCGCCTTCGCCGCCGCTTCCGCCTTTGCCGCCGCTTCCGCCTTTGCCGCCGCTTCCGCCTTCGCCGCCGCTTCCGCCTTCGCCGCCGCTTCCGCCTTCGCCGCCGCTTCCGCCTTCGCCGCCGCTTCCGCCTTTGCCGCCGCTCCCGCCTTCGCCGCCGCTTCCGCCTTCGCCGCCGCTTCCGCCTTCGCCGCCGCCGCCTTCGCCGCCGCCTTCACCTTACCAGCATTGCTCTGTTCTCCCTTATCCGCCGCCTCGGACGCCGCCGCCGCCTGCCTCCGCGCCGCCCGCCTCTCTGCCGCCGCGGCGGCCGGCGCTGGCAAGTCCCTCGACAACGCCTGTGAAGTCCCGATGGTGTAGCCCGCGACGGCGGCAATGGAGACCGAGGCAGCGAGGGCGGCGGCGGAGTTGCTGCTCTGTCGGCCCAGCCCGCTCGGCCCTGCCCGCTCGGGCCCGCCCGGGCTCGGCCCTGCCCGCTGGAGCTGCAGCTGCTCGAGCAGCTCCTGCCTCTGCCTCTCCGACCTCTCCAGCTCTCTGCTGCGGGAGACAAAGCCGACGGAGGTGAGGGCAGTGGAGCCAAAGAGGAGAGTCTCGAGAGCCGAGGGCGCCGACGAGGCAAAGGTCCCGAACCAGTTCGATGGCGGCGACGGAGCAGTGGCCAGCAGTTGAGACGCAGGAGGAATAGGAGGCGGGAGCGGCACGCTCTTTGTCCGAGCTGGGCCTCCGGGCAGCAGGCCAGCACTGGCGACGGCAGCACCTGCGACGAAGCCGCCGAAGGCTGTCGTCAGGGCGGCGGCGGCGGCTTTTGACAGCAAGTCCGCCTCGTACGCCTCAAACCGGTCGGCGAGCCTCTCAACATTTGCGCGGCTGCGGTCGAACCGGGCGAGTGCGGATCGCGAGGACGCAGCTTCGGCGCGGCGAGGCCACGACGGAGGCGTGAAGCCGAGGGCCAGCAGGCAGGGCAACATGTGCAGCTGGGTGCCGCCCAGCTGGGGCCACCCCCTCTTCCCCGCGCTGTCGGGCTGTTCGATTCGAGTTGCTGTGCCGTCTGGGTGGGCGTTCACACCTCTAGGCTCTCAGCTTCTGGCCGTGGCGTCGTCTCTGCGGTAGTCTGCGGCCTTGAGCGTCCTGTGCTCCTGAGGTCTGTCTCCTTCGCGGAGAAGGAGGAGCGCCTGGACGCTGGAGGTGGAGCCTGGTGTGATGGCGCCTTAGCTTGTGCACGTTATTCGTCTCGCCCAGGACTATGTATATTCTTTTCCTTATAACTTATATTCTCCCCGGACCGTCTATTTTTTCGAGAATATTCTCGAATATGGAAGTGGGCGCACTTCCATATGCCGCCCCTCTATACCCTCTATATTCTCAAAGATATTCGAGAATAACGTGCACAGGCCAAATTGGCGCCTGGCGACGAGGGCCTGGACCCAACCGCCAACCCCCCTCTGGTCTTGCTCTTGGCTCGCTTGCGGATCGAGCTTCGAGGCAGCGGGGTGCGGACGCCGGGGTGTATCATTCACCATTATCCCGATGATACACCGTCGCAGTGCTGTGGGCCTCGCCTGTGCACGGTGTCGCACCGCACAGCGCGTACTACACACCGACTGACCGACACGAGCCACAGCACTCACCAAAGTGCGAGCTCTGCGTCACACCTGGGCCCCGGGGCGGGCGCGCCGCCACAGCCGCACCGGGCCGTGCCGGAGACGCACACGCACAGGCCGCGCACACCGCGGCCCGACAAAGAGATAGTGGTCTCAGATGGCCCGCGCGCCGCGCTGCGCCGAGGGGAGCACGCATCAGCAGCGTCGCCTCGTGGGCTCGACCTGGGAATTCCGCTTGATGCGCTCGTCCGACTGGGACTGGGATCGATCGCCGGGCAGGCGGCGGAGAGGCTTGTCGCCAAAGGCGTGCCGCGACCAGCGGAGCTGCGAAGCGCAGGAGGCGGAAGACGAGGCTGACCGCGTGAAGAGCGTCGCGCTTCCCGAGAGACTAGAGAGGGTCGAGCGGGCGCCGGCCGCACCTCAGCTCACTCTGGAAGCGCCGCCGTTACCTGAATTTCGACGAGGATGGAGGGTCGGGCCATAGCGGCTTGAACGGTCGCTCGCGTCGGCTTGTTGTCCGCTTCAACCCACTCGTTCCACACGCCATTCATCCGCTTGAAGTCGGCTTCGATGTCCTTCAGCCAGATGGTGGCGTTCAGCGCGTTCGACTTGCTCGTGCCCGCCTCCGCCAGCAGCGCGTCTATCTTTGCAAGACACGACTTGGTCTGTTTCTCGACACAGTCTCCAGCGTCGGCGGCCGTCTGCCCCGACGTGTACACGACGCCTCGGTGGATCACGACTTTCGACATCCGCGGATCGTCCGTGCCGAGCCGCACGATCGACGAGCAGCGGCGCGCGAGCAGTCGCAGCGAGCGCGTCATGTGAAACTCGGTTTTTGGCAAGAGAGGAGGGCAGAGGCCCCATATATATAGGCCAGAATTCTTTTTCTAAATTCTTTTTCTTGACCTCCACAACATTTTAACTTTTTCGGTGTCAAGTTTTCCGGAGCTTTACCCCCCGGCCGGGCATCGGCAGGCGTGACACGTGGCCAGATGCGTGGACAGCCTATGGGAGCGAGCGCGCACAGGACAGTGGGAGCAGCTCCCGGAAGGCAATCGCTGGGTTCCGGCTCTTGGTGGGTAGGGGACGCCTTGTCTCATACATATCTCATTTCAGTTCGAAAACGAACCGATCTCATTGGGTCATTATCGTGGGCGTGGGCCGCCCTCGATCGTCACACCGGTGGGCGCACATATAAAAAAATATGCGCAGCTCTCCGCCGCGCGCGCGGCTGCATTCCCGGGGGGGCCGAAATGCGTTTCTATGGCGACGCGGCTCGAGGAATCGCACACCCGACGTATTTTCCCCGTGCAGTGGTACTAGCGAGCAGCGGGCTTGCTTCTCGGGTCGTGTCTGTGTCTTCAATCAAACGCGCTCTAGCCCAAGCCCCTGCCGCCTCGCCTTGCCAAGCGTCTCGCTCCGCCAGCGCCGTTCCCTCTGCCCGCGCCGGCCGGGCTGGCCAGCCGCCTGCGCACGGCCCTCTGCGACTGGCTGCCCCATTTTGTGCCGAAACAGCCGCCAGAGAAGCCCGCCGATCCGCTCGTCGGCACGATGGATGGACCACGGCCACGTTTCGAGCGATAGGCCGTCAGGCTCATCCTGCCACCAGTCCAGGTGCCTGCTCACATCGGCGATGGCGAGTGACACGACGCGCACAGTCGCGCAAAGAGCGCGCAGCTCGCGCGGTACCGGTAAATGTCCATGCGCACCACTGGCGCGTTCCAGTCACCAAAGCTCACGCCGCCCAGGTTCTGGACGCACGTGGCGACCCGAAAGTCGCTCGGGCCGCACCGGAGACGCGCCGCGCAATCCGCCCAGTCCGAAGACGGGATGCTGTCGAGCAGACCCGCACTCAGCAGGACTCCACTGCCTGTCCACAGCTGCATGGGTGAAGAGGCGCCCTGACCGAGCAGACGCCCGCTGTGGCGCCCGTCGCGGTCCGTACCAACCGCCGCCTTGTTGGAGCGGAAAAAATTACGATCTCTCTCTCTCGAGCAGAAAGAATTCTCTTTACCCCCTGTGTGGTGGCGGCGTGCCGTCCTCCCATCCCTCCCTCGGGTTGTCTGTTTTCTTTCTTTTAGAAACAATTCTCTCTCTTTTTCAGTGCACAGTGGTAGGGATCCCCATGCGTCGAGGACGCCGTCGCTGTGGAGAAAGTGGAGTCTATGTCGCCCTTCCTCGGAGTCCGGGTCGCCGTCCGAGTCGTCGCACGTCCGTTCGGCTGTGCATGTTGCTAAAATCTCTCACACATATGTCCGAAACCAGAAGGAAACAAGGAGGGTCCAGCAGTTGCGTTTCCGGAGATTCCCAGACAGACAGAGATCAGAGTGTCGCAGGAGGTGGTGGAGAATGACCTCCAGACTGACCCGGAGAATCACCTCCACCCAGCCCCACCTCAGCACCCCTATTATCACACTCTCCCCCACAACAGTGATGAATAGTCTACCTATATCCCTATAAGCTAATTGACTCACTCTTTAGCAGGAACGTCCACGGCCCGCTCCTCGAGAGCCGAATCTCCGCTTCCTTTGTGTTTGGGCGAGGCCACGGGTGGTGCGCCCTCGTGAGCATTCTCATCAGGACGCTGATCCGCGACGCAATGTTGTGTGCCGTCAGCGTGACTCTCTGTGTGTCAGGGATAGTCAGCGGGCCGTCCATCAGAGCTCCAGTAAGCTCGGAGTCAGACACCCCATTAGCGCGGCTCGACCTCTTTGAGTCACTGCCTTCCCGGCGGTTTGGCTGTAGAGCCTCTACAACAAACTCTACAGCAAAATCGCGCTCTACATCGCTCTACAACGGAGGCAGTTCGTCACGCGGCGGATGTAGAGCTCTACAGCTCTACAGCGCTCTCCAGCGCTCTACATCTCTACATCTCTACAGCGCTCTACACTCTACATCCTCTACACCCTCCCTCAGGCTCCATTCTGGCAACTCTCGAGCTACCACCTCGCGGCTCGTGGTCTTCCCACCCTCGTCGTCCTCTTTGGTGTCTCCTTCATCTTGCGGGGATTCATACCCGGTTTTTTCGCCCGCCCGCCAAGTTTTTCAGTGACTCCACAGTGTTATTAGCTCTCACTTACCGCTTCCCGCCTCCCGCGCACGGCGAGCCTCTCCCCGCCGCCGCACCGCGACCAGCCTACCGCCACCACCACGCGAGCCGGCCGCTCTCGCCTCCGCCGCCACTGAGCCAGCTGCCGACACCCGACTCGAGAGACTGCTGCTCTCGCCGCCGTCGCCGCCGCCGCCGCTGCCCTACCATCACCACCAGCCGGGCGGGGCGCCGCCGCCGGCCTCGCACGCGCGCTCGCCGCCGACGCCGCCCTCTGCGTTGCCGAGCACGCCGTACAGCCCCTCCCTCGGCGCTTGGGAGGCGGTGTGGGCGGCGGTGCGGTGTCGCTGGGCAAGCGGCCGGTGCCGAGACCGCTCTTTCCTCTCTTTGTTTGACAGCGACACGTGATTTTTGTCTCGTGTCTCTCGAGTTTCATTCGTGTGCCCCCCGGCGCTGTCCGCGAGGGAGGGAGATAGGAGAGATGTCCAGTGCGGACATTTGACTTCTGTGTTTTACGATTGCTCTCAGAGCGACTCGAAGTCGCGCACCCGGAGCACACACTACGGCTTTATCCACTATGCACTCTCACAGATTTCTAGCGTGGTGGCACACCGCGGTATCCGGTGTCGCACACGCCGCGGAGTGTGGTGTCTCAGGCGCTCTGGGACAACTCAGGGTTGGGCTGCTGCGAAGGATTGTAGACGATGCACACTCCTTTGTCCATCGTGACCACCCACAGGCCTCGGTGCACGCTCGTGTCGACCTCGACAGTGGTGAGAACGGGCGGCTTGGCAGCACTCGAGCTGTGTGCGCGGCGCTGACAGGGCCAGTAGCGCATTAGCAGTTTGAAAACCAGAACGTAGAGGGGACATGACAAAAGGAGGACGGACAGGGCGATGGCCATCGACATGTCTGAGGAGGTTGAGTCTCCGCCGGATGGTGTGTAGGTGTAGCAGCCGTAGAGGACGCATCGTCGTGGCGGCGGCGGCGGCGGCGGCGGCGCGGACTGCGGCGGCGGCGCAAACGGATCCATGAGAGCCGGAATGGCTGGCGGTGACATGCTGTTGCCATGCATAGCCAAGTCACGGTGCGACGTAGATAGGTCTCGTCAAAGAGGGAAAAGAAATACGCGGCCTGGCACGGGACCCCTCGATCGTCTCGCCCTCCCTCATACTGGGAGAGAGAGAGAGAGAGAGAGAGAGAGAGAGAGAGAGAGAGAGAGAGAGAGAGAGAGAGAGAGAGAGAGATGTTATTTGTGTCATACTGGTGTGTTCTCCACCTCGCCCACCCCTCCGCCGCCCTCCACCTCGCCCACACCGCCGCCGCCGCCGCTCGTGCTGCCGCCGCCCCCCACCTCGCCCGCCGCCCCCCACCTCGCCCACGCCGCCGCCAGTTCGCGAAGCGCCGCCGACCGTGTCCTCCAGAGTCGATCGGCCTTGTCGTCCAGGAACGCGTCGGCGGTTTCAAGGACGCGGCCCTCGCTGGAGCGCATCTCCCTCGCCGGCGTGGCCCGGTCCACTCCGTGCCGCGTCGCGGCAGCGCGCGCCGAGGCAGCATCACCCCGGCCCTCCCCCCACATTGCATACGCCGCCCGGAGTGCCTCCGTGGCGCAGGCGCACCCTCCATGGTGTCCCCTGCGATCGAAGCACTTGAGCTCCCCGGCCCTTCCAGTCGTGAAGGGCGTCGCTCGGGGTGCCTGCCGGCTCTGCTAAGATCCACCCGAAGGTACCCAACGGGAGTCCGGCCTCCCTGGCCGACGACTCGAACTCGCCCGAGGGCAAGATTCGGGGAGGGGCCGCCCCCTCCAACCCCGCCGCTTTCCGGACCCTCTGCGCCGCGACCTTGTCCGTCTTCCTCATTCGTCTCACCCGCCTCGCCAGGCGTAGGCCCGTCCCCCACCTCGCCCTCCTCGTCCAGGTCCATACTCGAGAAGCTGCCTTGCGAGTCGGACTGCCCGGACAGTCGACAGAGTATCCTGCGAGCTTGCCTCCTCCTCCCAGTCCACGTCCATGCTCGAGAAGCTCCCCTGCGAGTCGGGCTCCCCGAGCAGGATATCCTGCGAGCTCGTCGCGAGTCTTCTTTGTGGTCTACAGCACTTGAGTCGTTTGGGACTCTGAGTTAGATCCACTTTCGTTTCCACCGGGCACGTCGTCACAACTAGCGAACAACAAGCGAGCTTCCCTAGACAATGCGTGTCGCGATCCACATCACCACCGGCTCGCGGCAGTATGGGCACAGCTGCAACCGATCGGAGCAAGGACCGCAGACGCACTGATGGCCGCAAGGCCCGGCCACGTGTGTCTTGGGCCGGGTGAAGCATACTATGCACGTGGTCTCCCCGCCCATGGTGGACTCTGGGATCGCTGCGCGACCCGTGTCGAAGTTGGCGTCGGCTAGCGAGAGCGCCGCAGCGGGCCGCTCCTCACTCGGCGGAAGGTCGTCGGCCGACTCGGCGGGAGGCGCCCGCTCCTCCGTTGCGCGCCTCGCCTCGTCCTCCAGCCTCGCGCTCTCCTCGAGCACCGCCGCCAACTCCGTCTCCTCCGCCGCCGCCAGCGCTGCCTCATCCTCAGGCTCTTGCGACGGCCCAGCGCCGCCCCCGCCGCCCTTCCCCTTCTTCTTCTTCTTCTTCTTCCCCTTCTTGCTCTCCTTGGTGCGCTCCCCCTCCTTCTCCGCCTCCTCCTCCGCCAGCAGCGCCTCGGC